TAATAATAATTTAAATTATATATATTAATATTAATAATAATAATAATAATAATAATAATAATAATAATAATTTTACTTTTTTTATAAAAAAATATTATCTTTATTTTATTTTGCTATAACCCTGTAATCTTTGTAATTTACTTATAAAAAACACAGAATATGGCAAATTATATGATAAACTAAAATTGTGGATATCGAAGCCAAAGTTATTGTACAACTTTTTTGGCGTTTGAGAAGTGATGGTTTATGAGCATCTTTCTTATGTGTGCGAAATGAAGCCTAAACAGGTTTGTTAAAGAACCGAAAACTGGAATTAAGATATACGAGAGTTTGTAAGCGACAACCCACGAGCCAACTCACACTGCCTCCTCCGAAAGGAAAAAGAGGCAACCGAGTACATAATGGCCAACTGGTTGGCTGGTTCAAGAACCCAATGCCTACTAAGGGCCAGATACTCAAAGGAACTGTAACTCCCACACAACGATTGCCAAACTCAAACTCTCTGTATGTTTATGCAAATCACCAACTATGCTACGCCATGGAGACTAACGTTAAGATTGTTGATTAAAAGTAAGAGCGTGATTGGGACTAAACGAAATTGACATCACTTCAAGAACTCTTAACGAAGTCGCAAAAACTTGAGGTAGAAAGTTTGGTAGCAGTGATGTTTAAAGGTGGTTGCCCAATCCCAACAGTAATGATGAAGGCAACATTAGCTTGTGAGGTCAGAGGATGAACCGAAGGAAAAACGTAGGATGTAAAAGGCCGAAATGAGAAATAAGAATCTTTGTTGACTTTTCAAGTTACAATGATGACCTAATTTTTGTGCCATAAGTTAGAGACAACATTTCTAGAATATTCAATAGGTTTTGACTTGATTAATTTAGGTCACAATTGAAACTACGCGTTAAAAGGTTGATCAGTAGGGGTTTAAAGGGTTTTTTGTGTTTTTTTATTAACCTGGATATCCAACCCGCTATGCGAGCCGACTAATCCCAGGGCGACCACCTGTTTTGCAGATAGCCCGGAGTCACGACCTTCGTGGCCACAAGGGAATTTTTATTCCCCCTTGGATTTGAACCTGGGACCTCCTAGTACTTTTGAACTTTGGAGCCAAACTCAAACCAATCAGGCACTACCCTTGTGGTAGGTTTTTGTGTGTGTAGGACAAGTAAAGTTAATGACTGTTTGTCCCTAACAATCAATCTTCCATGAAAACCTTCAATCAACAATGACAAATCTGAGTTTTTCTTCAAGAACAATATGAGAGGAGAGTTGAGAGAGTTTGAGAGAAATAGTCAAACATTCAAGCTTGGTCAAACCTTTATACGTAAATCTGATTTTACAACTGAGCATCCTCTCAAATTACAAAGCCAACACCCTTTATATAGGGTCAAACCTATAGACAAAAGTCAAAGTCAAACAGCCCTAATAAAAGTCAAACACGATGACTTTTATACAATTAAGACAATTTTATCTTTCAAGACGAATACAATTTTACACTGATTTTCAGTCCTAACAATGACTGTAACGTACATAGTCTCATTTAGACTAATCAACTTTCTATTGAGTTATAGGACTGTAGCAGTTTGAATGAGGTTTCCCCCCTTTTTTCTAACCAACAACCATTGCTTAAACCGTTGAAGGGCTAGCTGTTTTGGTCTTCCCCAACCACCCCTCCAATTTTTGTGGTTAATACAAGTTTCAAAAAAAGACACTACCAAGTTATAAAGACTCGGCTTTGGGTAGTCAGGTTGTGTTTGGTCTGTGCTCCAAACGAGTACCTTTGTTATGACCTTTTCAAACTCGATGTCTTGTTCACGACCAGATCCTTGCTTGGGATCATGATCAATACCCTATTGAGACATGATTTTTTCTTGAGTCTCAAAAACGTTCATAAATTACTATATCATTTCAGTATTATTTTCGAGGGTGGTTGGATACAACCACTATATTCTTTAGAATAAGTGTCCATCTTACCCTCCAGACTCCAACTCCGGGTGTTATATATTGGACTCGTTTGGTTTGGTTTGGTTTGATTCGGGGTTGGTTAGATACAATGATCTTCTGTAATCAAAACATATTATTAATTTCAGTATTTAAATCTTTGTGCTTATCTGTCTACTAGCTTTTAATAAATTTAAATTTTCAAATTTCAAATTTGATTTTAATAGCGCGTTCTCAAAATTTATGTTAATTTAATGGCCTGATAAAAATCACTATTTTTGAAATGTAACGCTCTTTCCATCCAAAAAAACGACAAACGTTAAATCAGGTATTTTATTTATTACTTTTGACCATAAATATTTTTACACAAATTTTATTTTCAAGAACCGAATTGGGTTCATGTGAGACCAGGTTGTTTTCGTGAGACTCATAAGACAATTTTTTTACACTTGAAACTTCACAGTAAGACGCTGTGAAGGTAAAAAAAATCCAAACCTTCACAGCAAAAACACTGTGAAAGTTACTTTCACAGTGTTTTGCTGTGAAGTTTCAAGTGTAAAAAATAATCTCACAGATCTCACAAAAACAGGTTGGTCTAACATGATTCCAAATCTTAAGAACCCTCAAAGATTATTTGATCTATTATGTGAAAAATAGAACATATAAAAGAATAAGTTTGAAAGCCTAAATTGATCCATGATAATAATATTAAAGAGTTATTTATAATTTATTCAAAATAAATTATTTTATTACAATAAAATAAAATATATAAAAAAAACTAAAGTCAAAAAATTGTGGAGTTACATATGGTAAATTAGAAAACCTATAAGATTTGTGAGATCTGTAAAATTCATTCTAAGCTGTTAATTTAAGATAATTAGAAGGGTGTTCGCATAATATAACAAGATATATCTTAATTTTAATGTTTCATTTTATTATTTATCTATGTCGATATAATACAGTTTTTAGGTGGTTTTGATAAAACGATAACGTTTTTATTTTGAAATAAAATATAAATTTAAATATATCATAAAAATTTGACAAAGAAACTATACATCGATATTAGTATCACATTTACTATTTAAAGTTCTTTTTTTTTATGTAATTTCTTTAATTAATATTTTATTTATAATTTAATTTAAATTTAATAATAAAGTAATTTATGTATTGTTTAACAATATAATTTTTATAAAGATAATAATTAAATATTTTGTTATAACTAATGATTATCCTAATTATATTTTAGATTTTTTTTATATTTAAAATGAGATGTCTATCCGTATTTGATTGTGTTTATCTATAGTTAGTTACACAACTTCAAAATGAAGCTTTAATAAGTTGTACATATGCACAATTTACTTGTGATATTGAATTTTAAGTAATATGCATCAATAAGCAGTACTTTATGCATGAAAAATGATTTTTAAGAGTTATTGGCAAATGCTTTATTATATAATATAGATTAATGTTATTAATTAATGAGATAATTAAGAAAATGATTATTATGAAGAAAAAATAATGTGAATCATGTTTGACAAAGACACCCTGCTATTTAATAGTTCTAAAATCTTCTGAATGATTTTGTATATTGGGTCTTCCTTAACCATTCAACACACTAATTTTATTATTAATAACTACCAAACAATTACATTTCATTTTGCATTATATTATAAGTCTCTTAATCATTATGTATCAAACTATTCAACAACTATCAAACAACCTCTAAATTGAGATTAAAAAGTTTTCAAAAACTCTCCCATTATTTTATTTATGTATAAAAATTATATTTTTAGACATTTAACCAATATTCAAATACTTTATAAAACTTGTCACTCAACCTTTTATGTTTACTAGTTGTGTAACCGTGCAATGCAACGGAGCCGTGAATTGCAACGGAGCCGTGAATTTTAACGATTTTGAAGTTTCACTGGTTTTATTAGAGAAGATTTAACGATGATATAAGTTACACTTGGTCTCTACATATTAATACAATTTGAATAAATAAGAGTTATGGTTTCAATTACAGTCTATCGATGAAAAAAATTGTATGACAGTTTAAAATCCAACATATTTAATTAAACGATTCCACAAATGTGTTCGATTTACACCAAGAACAAATAATCAAGAGATCGAGAGCGAGAGCGAGAGTTCTAGGGCAATTGAACGAGAGATGAATGAAAAAACTTTTAATAACTCATGGTGAATATCAGTTTGAATATCACATTGGGGGATGAGGAGAAGACATAGAAGTATGAGAGGGTAAAAACATGAGTGAAATGTGTCAAAAGTATTTTGGGAACATGAAAAGAAAAGGTAATAATGTGTATTGATAACTTGCACTATATGTTATTTTAATTGTAAATTAAGAGACTTTAAGACTAAATGCATAAAATAATAGTACTTAATGCATTATGAGTTGTTTTTAAAACTTTGTGCATAAATGTATAGTACTTTGTGATTTAAAATTATTTTTAATTTTTGATAAATCTGGTTTATAAGGTACTATAAATACATATATAAATTACAACATGAGCAGCCCAAATTCTATCTATACATATATATACACCATATATATACATATAGATACAAACACTTATACACACACACCATATATACATATACACACACCATATATACATATAGATACAAACACTTGTACACACACCCCATATATACATATACACACACCATATATACATATAGATACAAACACATATACACACACACCATATATATACATATATATACACCATATATATACATATAGATACACACACATGTATATACACCATATATATACATATAGATACACACATATATATATATACACGTATCATATAATATCTTTTGTAGACTTTTTCCCTCTTAATGGAGAAATTTAAAAATTGTTAGCTGTTACATTGTGTTTGAATCATAAAATCTCTCTCTCTCTCCCTCCCTCTCTCTCTCTCTCTCTCTCTCTCTCTTTCTCTCTCATTCTCTTTCTCTCTCTCTCTCTCTCTCTCTCTCTCTCTCTCTCTTTCTCTCTCTCTCTCTCTCTTTGTGGAAGAAAAATGGGGAAAGCGATAAGGTGGTTGAAGGCATTGTTTGGATTTAAAAAAGAGAAAAATCTAAAACAGGAATCAAATTCCGGTGACCGGAAAAACAAGAATCCGTCATGCATCCGTCGCTCTGGTAGAAACCCCACCAATTCTCCGGTGAAGTCTCCTTTGCAGACACCACTTTACAACAACGTCAACCACCATTCCGACGAGCAGAATAAACGTGCAATTCAAGTAGCCACCGCCACCGCGGCAGCAGCTGACGCCGCCGTTGCTGCCGCCCAGGCAGCCGTCGCCTTCGTCAGACTCACCAGTCAGAACAGACTCACCACCGCAAGGGAGCATGCTGCCGCCATTAAAATCCAAGCTTTCTTTCGTGGATTTCTGGTAATTAATCAACAACTTTCAATCATCAATCAACATTTCTGACGATCTTCTTAACCATAATCGAAAACCCATTTCTGATTTTGATCGATTGATTCGAATTCTGTCGATTTAACAGTCGAGGAAAGCATTGAAGGCTTTGAAATCGCTGGTGAAGCTTCAAGCAGTTGTTAGAGGTTATTTAGTGAGGAAAGAAGCAGCTGCAACTCTTCAAGGAATGGAAGCTTTGTTGAGAGCACAATCCAGTGTTTGTGCTCAAAGATTTCGTCGTCAAGATGATAAATTTCATCCAAGAAGATCGATTGTAAGCACCCATCGAAGTATATTTTTGGTAATTATTATGAAAAAAAACGATTCATTTATGGAAACTGTTGTTATGAGGGTAAATGTCAGGTCTGTATACATTCATCCAGAAAGCATATACCGGTTTGGTTTGGTTTATGATGAAAGTTTTCTTGTTGGTATTTGCAGAAGAGGGCTAATGAGGCAAGAAGCAAAAGGATTTCGGCTTCTTTACAAATCCCTAGTGACGGAAGACTCAGTTGTGTGGAGGTTGGCCCTGAAGAACCTAAATCAAGGTTAACCAGGGCCAACACATGGGCTTGGACTCCCGACTCAGGAACCCAAACCCCATACCACCTTGCAATACCTAACCATCATGAGTTCGAGCCTCGGTTCTCCACAACACAGAACACCCCTCGGTTCGCATACTCCTGTGGACCATACGGGTTCTATGAGGGCGTTTCGAAGGACGACTCTTTCGCAAGCCACCCGGGATACATGGCTAACACCAAGTCTTTTAGGGCTAAGGTGAGGTCCCATAGTGCACCAAAGCAAAGGCCAGATTTTGGGTTTGGGGTGGTCAAGAAGAGGGTTGAGGTGGAATGTGGTCCAAGAATGGAAAAGTCAAAGTCACCTTCACTTTTGGAAGTCAACAATTTCAAGAATTTTGTGATGAGTCGGATTGGAAAGTCTTCGTATGTTTAATGGGTTGTTATTTTTGGTAGTTGGAGAAAATTTGGTGCAATTTGAGTTGAAATCAACATCAAATGTGAAACTTAGTTTTGAATTCAAAAGTATGATATTATTGTTTTTGGTATAAATGAATTGAAAATTCTGATATCATCTAGAGGTGTTCATGGGTTGGGTTGATCGGGTTGAAGACATTTGAATAACTTAACCCAATGTTTGCGGTTTGGAAAAATCTTAACCCAACCCAACCCAACCCAAAGCAAAGTGAAACCTAACCCAACCCGTATGGGTTGGTCGGATTGATCGGATTGATACTTTGCTATATTAAAATATCATTTTAATCTTGAATACGTTATTTCTCTACACTTTCTTTTTTAGCATCAACCATTTGATATAACTTATTTATATTTCTTACGTATATTACATTCAGTTAATTTTTTCAATTTACAGATATATGTTCACAGTTAATGGACATATATATGAATGGGTTATATAGAGATATAATAGATTGAAAATATGTATATATGAAAAGCATACATGATAGTGAAATTGTCTAATGTATATATTAATAGAAATTCAACAATCATATTAGATCCAAGAAATAAAAATGATATCGGGTTCATCGGGTTGGGTTGAGTTCAAATAATAGTAACCCAATATCAACCCAATACCTACRGTTTSACAATTTTACAACTCGATTAGACATCTGGTTGCTTCGGGTTGGGTTATTTTACGTTGGGTTGGTTGATCGGGTTGGTCGGGTTTTTAAGCACCCCTAATATCATCTCAAATTCAATTTGTTGTGTAATTTTTATGGTATGAATTCTGATTTCGTACTGATTATATCCGTTTTATCTGTTTACAAAAAACAAAAAGAAGATGTATATACCTGGTATATATACTGATACTTTTTATTTTTAATCAGAGTGCAATGCATTTTTATTTTTTAAATGTCTGATTTGTCTGTAGTGACAAAAATATGAATATTCGGACTAAGTAATGGAATGAGCGAGATTAAGGGGCCGTTTACCAAAGTCTTACCTGGGTAAACACTTACTAAGTCACACTACCTTACCGGATGAATATAATAAGGATCAAGAATCTTACATGGTAAGAGCGAGACAAGGACCAATAGTCTTACCCGATAAGTGAGGACGACGACTCTTACCATGGTAAACACTTACTGGGTAAATTGTTGCATATGATGTCGTTTTGGTGGACTAAAATCTTACTCGGTAAGTAAATGATAGTGTTAAATTTTACCAATAAACGCTTATCGGGTAAATGTTTGGTAAACAGACTGTAAGTCTTCTATTTCATTATCATGTTTGGTTGGTATATAGGAACACAAATAATCATACAATAATGTTATTTAGTATTTATTGAATTCAATTAAATTTCGATGTAGTAAATAGAGACGAATATTATTTAAGGTAAATAAGTTATGATACAATTGAAAAGGGGGGTGCTAATGGCACCCCTTTAGAGGGGGTGTTGATTGTTTTAAATTTTGTGCCAATCATTTTTTTGTCATAAATATCAACTCAATTAATTATATATTTATATTTTATTAATTTTGTTTTATTTTATATATTTATATTAAAAATATATATTATTTTATTATTTCATGTTATATTATTATTTTATATTTTTGATTTTATATATTACA